CCGGACGCCTCCGAGCAACGGCTTTTTGGAAAATTTCGCACACCGCTGAATCAGGCTTCTGCTGCTTCCCCCCACCCGGAGATGCATTTGCACCAAGCGCAACCATTCTCTTCCAGAAATTGCTCGCCAAGCCCGAACTTTACGATCTACTGGACTCGTGCCGGCGATCAAAATTCCCGCACCGATAGCTTTTCGAGTTCAAGTACATTACAGCGGGCATAGTTGTGGGCTAGAAAATACCTCAGTGCTAGTGTATTTTTGCCTCAAAAATTCATCGTCTATTTTATTTAAATAAGACAATAGCATTCTTAAAAATTTCAATTCGAAAATTTTTTTAGGGAAAAAATTCTTTAAAAAAATTTTTTAAAATTTCTCCTTTTATTTTTGCCATAAAAATTCGTCGTTTATTGTATTTAAATAAAGATATTGCATTTTTAAAAATTTCATTTCGAAATTTGGCATTTTTTAAAATTTTTCCTCTTAAAATTGCAATCTCTCTGTGCCGTTTGTCTTTACGAAAGTCTGGATATTTGAATTTTCCCTGAAATCCACCTCCTGCAGCGTTAATCCTGGGCAAACACAACGTGTGTCATTGGTCCAGCTGCAGATGCACTTCCCAACATTTCATTGGCTTTTCCGGAACTTGGCCGATTTCCTTCTCTTTTGATGTTAAGCATTTATTTTCTAGTGCTATTGAGCATTTTTTTTAAATGTATTTTCTGTTTGTTTTTCTGAAATGAGGGGAAAACATGCGTATGTATGCACGTTAATTTTATTCGGATGAGCCTTTCGTATATGGGATTTATGGCATACACCTATGATCTAGTAAGGACACACATTTTACTATTTTTTCACACGTTTTTGCGTAAATCGAAAATTTTCTTCATGGGAGGTCATGCGATGTGTGTATGAGTATATATGCGTATGTATATTTATGTATGTGTATGTATATGGATGTGTATGTATTGTATATGTATACGTACGTATTGTATGTATTGTATGTGTATGTATGTGTATGTATATGTATGTGTATGTATAAGTATGTGTATGTATAAGTATGTATTGTGCGTATATGTATGTATATGCATGTGTATGTTTATGTATGTATGTTTAAGTATATGTATGTGTATGTGTGTTTGTATGTTTGCGTATAACTGTACGTAAATTCCGCATTTCAAAATCTTATGATTTGGAAACGTAGGGGCTGGAGGGGGAAGAATTTTAGGAAAAATAGTGCCCGACCACAATCAAGGCCAAAAACCTGAAATTGTTTTTCAAATTTCTCCGTTTTTTGGCCCGTTGCCAACAGACGGATCAAATTCAAATTTTTCCAAGATGTATATTTGGATTGTTTTAATTGAGAGCAAAAATGCTTTAAAAAGCTGAAGATTTTAGAGATTTGGGGGAAGATTTTTTTAGTTTATGCAGGATGATTATTATGGACGCGGCACTTGAGCCTCACTGCACCCTCAGCTGTGCCCGCGGTTTCAAATGCGGGGTTACTGTCGTATTTTTTTTTAGAACCATTTAACTCAGAAACTTGATATTTTGGCGCATGGAGAATTTTATAAACTTTTTTAATTTTATAAATTTTATAAACTTTAAAATAAACTTTAGAAAAGCTCAAAAAACTTTAAAAATAAACTTCAAAAAATTTGAAAATTTTATAAACTTGAAAAAATTTTATTACTTTTGTCTTCCAACTTTAAAATATTTTTCCATTGTTATTAAAAAATTGTTTGTAGACTTTTTTTTATAAAAGTTTTTGTAAAAGAGAGGGTTTTGAACTGAACTGTTCATCACTGACAGCTCCATCCTGTCCCAGGCCAGCCTTGAGGAAATAACGGAATCGTTTGACGTTGTATTCACGTTCTCCGCGTCTTCATTCTATCCTGAAATAAAGTCTGGCTCATGAAAAATGTTCGTTTTCAGAGATGGTGCACTTTGATGACATCCAGAAAAGAACAGACCTGTCATAGTAGCACACATTCTATTGATGAACAGTGGAGGTATTGCAACAGCTTTGTCCGCAACAGCATTTCCGATTGTGGAGTCAAGAGTTGAGTAAGTCTTGCAACTCAATTGAAAAAAATTCACTATTTATGGATAATGAGCGCACAAGGCAGGTGTGAAACAAAAAACACGTGGTTGCTTCAAGTTTAATGCAAAAACGCACAATCACGCCCCCAGGCGGTAAAGTTGAGTATTTCTCACGCCTGTCTGAAGGGAATTCTGCCTCCCATCAGAATTAAGATAGTATTTGAAAGTAGAATACCCCAGCGAATTTTCAGCTTCGCAGCTTATTCGGCAAACGAAATATCCACTTCGCCCCTCGATCACACTACCCACCTAAGGGGAATAAATACACTAATAATGACAACGACTTCATCTTTAAGGTGAATTAAAGGCAGTTTGGCCTCAACTTATATCGTGAAAGGGAAGCTAGTTTTGGCAATGACAAATTTTTAAGCACGAGTATCATTCGCCTTGTTTTTTAAACCCAGTATCATGACAGGTTTGTACATCGATACATGTGCTGTTGGTGCATTTGCCAGCTTCTTCACATGTATTAGTTTCGATAGGTCTCTTCGTCTCCTACACTTCTTTTATTTTTATCATTTTTTATATATTTACTGATCGGATAGAATATATATTCAACTGATCTGATAAAAAAGTAATGCAGGATTAATACACTAATTTACAATGTTTCTGAAGATGGGGCTTTAGCGCTAGGCTGCCAACAACATCGACAGAATTTGCTGTAATTGTTATTATGAAATGCCGGAGGTAGATTTTTTAAACAGATGTCTAAAGCATCATCTCAGGAGCCAGAGAAGCTAGAAAGCTGAAATTTTAAGGAAATGTTCTCTCACAGTAGTGATAC